TCGTCCCATATCCCATCCAATATGAGCATAAAAAATACTATCCATCGATACCCCGCCCGGTATGAGGGTGAATCGGGCCGTCTCCATACCCCATCTGCTATAAGCACTAAAAATACCATCTGTTGATACCCCATCCAGTATGAGGTAACGTTCACGGTAGGATTCTCTATGTACCCGATCCGTCCACCATCTCCGAAGATATCCAGTGAGACCACCATTCATTAATTCACATAACTAATCAATTTTTTATTTGCATAATTATTTCAAATTTCACAAATCAACAATAAATCACGCAAGACAAACAGTATATGCATCAAGAAAGTACAATTGAATCATTTAATTATTCTAATATAATATCATGTATTTAAAGCTGTAAAATCAAATAATCAGTTAAATAGGACAAATAAATAAGTAACCAGTTCCGGCTTCATTAGTGACCTGTAATTATTCTCAAAATATTTTTAAATTTCATAAAATACCATATTATTGATTATTAAACTTCAATTCTATAACATGCAATAAGGTGATTGATTCTTATAAAAATTGGTGTCCGAAATACTGAACTTTTTACTGCACCTACTGACAGTCCCCATGTTTCCTAAATTTTTCTACGGAGATTAAACACGTTTCACGTACTTAAAAATACTCCAAAAATCTAAAATTGAGGTTAAAAATCCTCTCCGGCCAATTTCGGGGTTCTGGTACGGCGGCACCATCGCCCGCAGTGGCAGTTTATCTCGGCCTAGCTATTTTCGGCCGGTTTTGACCGGTTTCGGCCGACTTTATACATATCTCTACGAGAAAATACGTTAAAAAATTTTGATTGGCCGAAAAAATCAGAAAACGGAAACTTATAGGTGGTGGGGTTTTTCGGGTACAGCAGCTCTGCTGTGTCACATTCGTGGTTGGAATTTTTTCTTCGGTCAACCTGTAGAAAACAAAACGATGAATACAACGGTAGAAAAATCGCACGAAATAAAAAACGAGAAGAAGCTCATCGGAGGAGGTTGCGAATTTTACCCGCAGTTTTCGGCTCACCCGCCATTTGTTTCGCTTCGATATGGCCACGTGGGTACTTAGAATAGAATTTCGAGCGGATATAAGAGTTTATGCCTTTTTTGACAGTCGGAGGTAGCTCCGGTGAGGCAGCGGTCGGCGGTCGGCTCCTTTCTTCGATGAGAGGTTGGCGGCTAGGGTTCGTTATCAGTGTGATACGAAATATTTATACTTATCTCGCGTTAATCTGAGCTGTTCATCGCGTTTGATCTCGACTATTCGATCACGCCTATAGAAGACATGTAGTATGAACCGTTCACCGTGTTTGATCTTGGCCGTCCGATCACGCCTAAGGGAGAAACAGATCCGGTCTGTCCACGTGCGCGGGATCATTTCTGGATCGTTGATCGCGGCGCACGCAAATCACCAGCGTTG